ATAGCCAAGATGGAAATGGAACCACTCATAACTACAGCAGCGGCGTTCGGCCTCCTGTGTTCGACATTAAGCATGAACATGGAACAGATCAAGCTGAGGCCGCGCAGGCTCATGTGGCTGTGTCTGCAAAGAGCCATCAGCAAGGCCATTGAACAGCCCGGTAAACTGAGAGCCCATGCTGAATTATTCAGCATCTCTGATGCACTCATTGAGTCACTGAGCTGAGAATGGAAAATATGACCTTGGACCAGTGGGCCTGGTATTCACTTTCCTTTTCTTGTTCCAGAAAAGGAAGCACATACTGTACTAGGCACGGCATTCAAACATCTTCGCTTTAATAAGGTATAAGAGAAAAAAACTCCCCATGGAGAGCGTAGTTTTTGGTATTCAGTTAATTCAGAAGAACAGGATCATCGGAAAAGGTGAGAGCAGAACATTCCCAAACAAAAGCTGTGCAGTGCGCGTCCCTACTAAATAAGATTAATCACTTTATTTCTTGGATGAGGAATCCGTCTTTCTGCAAACCCCAGCTTGCCCTCCAGGAGACACACAGACAGGGAGAGAAGCTGGGGGTCAGAGCGCAGGGTCAGTAAAACCGGAACGAAGGCGAGGGCCGTGAGACGGCCTGTTGAGCAGGAGGCCAGAGCCCCGGGACGAGCAGCCGCAGGGCAGAGACCGCGGAAGCAAAGGTGTCCGCCTGCTGTCTGCACCCCCCCAGCACTCACCATGTTCACCGCATCCTGGTCGAAGGGGTTCCACTCCACGGTCTCCGGATAGTGAGCGAGGACTTTGGACTTGAAGGTTCTCTTGAGGGGGCTCTGCTCGAAGTTCTCCCCTGGAAGGAAGAAGAGAGGAGAGGGTTTGTCCCATCGGCGCCACGCCTTGACGACGCTAGGGTGAGCGGCCTGCAGCCGGGCCCGGCGCACCCCTACAGCGCTTCCCAGCCAAGCGCACAGCACCCCCGTCGCCACACCTGGGGCGCCCCAACCGATTCAGTCACTTGAAATACCGGGAATTCGCAGCCCGACAGTCATTAAGACAATATTATTTAAAAATGCAGGTGACTCGAGCCGGCCGTCCTGCTGCTGCTGTGAGCGAGCTCTTTAACACTGCACCTGCCACAACAGTCCCTCTCCCCAGGCCAGAGAGCAAGGAAACCGCTGACCAGAAACACGCCTGTCTCCCCTTTCATCTCTAGCAAACACAAAAGGTCCCATTGTTCTTTCTTTCCTCCCTTAGCACCAGACGGTCTGTTCTCAACGCACTTCTCTCCCTGCTCTCCCCCAGGAGAGGAGAGGACAGCACACACACCCACCCGACTCTCGCGCTCACTCACAGCTGAAGGAGCTGGAGGGATGCGTCTCCCTGCCATTCCAGACAGCCACAGGGCGCTGGCGTGCAGGAGCCAGAGGAGACTCCGTTTTTGAGACATTTCTGCTCTGAATTTCCACCCCGAGTGGAACCATGTCCCTCTCACTGACAAGGACAGAAAGCCCATTCACAGTGCAGCTCTCAGCCTTTTGTGAAATTAACAAAGTCTGTCATTTCTGCAGTGGGGAGGCTTATCACTGGAATTAGCACAAGGCCAACAGCCAAAGAGACACAAAGACAGAGCCACCCTGCTAAAGCACGCAGCTTGCAAATACCAGGAGTTCCTCTGCATGACTCACAGGCTGTTTCCCCCACTCACGCCCCGCGTGCCCCCCGCGACAGCTGGGCACTGTGGGTCACGCCAGCACGGCTGCAAATAACCCCCCAGGGGGCAGACCCGGAGAGGGAGGCTGGGACTGGGGTAAGAGAAGAACAGCACCGAGCTGGCCAGCACATGACACGACAGAGGCCACAGCGGACTCGGGATCGAAACCGCTGAGGCAGGGCGATTAGAACTGACAGCGAACGCGAAAGCACGGTCACTCTCGACAACGAGCCTCTGTCGCGCTCCAACCACAGGCAGCCCCAAATCACCGAGATAAACAGTCACCGCATGACAGGAAGCCCAGTCAGAGCGCCCAGTCAGAGAGGTGAAACGTCAGCAGACTGGTCACATCCAGGAGACTGAGATCTGCTGCTCTGCTGGAGGGAAAAGAGGTTATGATAACAAATGGCTCATATGTAGCCCTGAAGTGTTATTTTTGTTTTTCCAGTAATAAGTGTACAATTTAGGCATCCATTCACTACACCACTGCCAGCAACCAAGACCTTGTGTGTCCCTGTGACTCTGAGACAGAGCCTTATGTTAAGTGTCCTGAGTGTCTCTGGTGCCCTGGGCTCAGTCTGATCCTGGTGGGTCTGCTGGCTGTGAGGCTGAGGCTTGAGGCTGGACTGTCACAGTCAGGATGTGTTTCCAGTCCCAGGTTTGGTGGAACCTGGTGGAACCGTGGGAAAAGGAGTGAAAAGGAGCTTCAGCAGGATGCTACCATCGTGGCTCGAACCCTTGTCCATAGCTTCCCCCAGGCATGTTCTTCCTCCTTTGAACTGCCCTGTGGCATTGCTGCAGTGTGAAGTTGTACACGTCTACTTCCTGCACACAAACGTCAAGCACCTGCCTCTCGTCCAACATGCTGCGTTGTGTCCAAGCTCTCGAGTTTCCGGTGTTCACATTATTAATGGTCATAACGACCGACTTCAACAGAGAGAGATACTGCACATAGAAGGAATTATCACATGAGCCAATATCAGCAGAACTGAAAGCTGGGTTAAATATACATGAGCAAATTATGCAAGAGAGGAAGCATGCCTTCACGCTGACTCTACCTACAGTGTTGGAGGGCCAGGCTGTAAAGGACAAACGGATGTACATTTCGGGGCTGTGATGATGTCGCCAGACCCCTCTCGATGTTTCAGAGATCCCAGGGGAACAGGAAAGGCTGGTGGCTCAGCTCTGCTGTTCGAGCTATAGCAAGGTCACTGTATTGCCTTGTACTACCTGGGAGAGAATCTTTTTGACCCCGGTCACAATCTCTTCCACAGGCCACACATCCCTTCAACATCCTCTTTGACAGCTCCACATTTTCACGACGTTTCCCATAAACGAGTGGGCTGCTCCTATAGCTGGAGACTGCAGAGAGCCGCAGGGACGTGCACTTTAATCGAGTGCTTGACGAAATCGTGTACAAAAGGAGCCACGGTGACCCCTTAGGAAAGAAAGAAAGATGTGGGAGACTTTCTTCATCACAGCATCCAGTGAGGCCGCATGAATAAGAGCTTTGCGAGTCTGAAATCAACTCCTCTGCACACAGCATTCATAAAGCCGACTTCTCATGACATGCAACTGCACGTTTGCCGACGTCATCAACGAACTGAACTCCTGTTAGTGCGTTTTTATCTTCATTCGGTGACAATGACGTTCAATATTATCACTGCATTGGGCGGGCTGTGTGGTCCCAGGTTAAATCTAAAGAGCATTATGAACTAGACATGCACGTACATGGACATTACAGCATGCAATGTGACATTTGAGGGCACATAAAATATAAAAACAACTGGAAAAGGAAAAGCTGTTGTCTCTTTCACCTGGTTATCTGTTTTCCTGTGCCTGATCGTTTGAACGAGATGCTGCTGAGGAGGTAGTGTTTCACTGTGAGTAAATCCGTTTAGTGATAAGTCCGGATTGATAACCCTGTGCGTCACAATTGCAACAACAACAAAAAAAGACAGCTGCAAACAAGGAGAAATATATCTTTTTAGTGGATCCCAAGTCATTGCTGAAATCTCTATTTCTAAGGCAAAACAAAAGAGCCCAACTCATTTTTCCAGAGGCTGCCATCAACCTCAAAGACTGACAGCTGAGCATATATTGTACCCTCACTATATAATGTTGTAACAGCCTGACTGATTCAGCGATTATTAAAAAGTCCTTCCCCACTGCTGGTAAAGAGGTATTCTCCTGGAGAACTTCATCAGTGAAAACCAGCAATTCATTCCATAACGGGCTGTCTGCTCAGCCCTGGAGGGTTCACTGTGTGGAAATCTATAAGGAAAATTAAGCAATCAATTTACCAAAAGTCAATCAATACCACCAATAACCTGGCTAATAATGAACTGACCGAGATAACGGCGTCGCTCCGATGGAGGCTGTTGTAATAACGAGCTTTAGGGAGGCAGAGTGGACCCTACTCGGGGCAAGACGAAAGAAAAGACCATCCCCTTGTTGCCAACCAACTCTTGGGTACACCGAGCTGGCACCAGAAGAGGGGAGCAAAACCCGTTCACTCCTCGGCCTTCTGAACCGAGCCACAAAGCAGAACAGTTCTCTTCCTTCACCCGTGCTCTCTTACTTAACGATGGGGTTAGCTCTGGGGGCGCTGCGGAGTGTTTTTAATCACAGCAGTAAAATCGAGGGGCGATTTCGGAGCTCGCAGCCAGACACTAGAAACAAGCAGCAGGCTCCACGGTCCCTGAAGGGCTCTGCCAGCAAAAATGTATTTCCCAGGCAAAACCTGTGGAATCAGCATTCTAATTACTCTCGATGCAGCTGCTCTCCTTGCTTCACTGTTCAGTGGGTGAAAGCGAAGATGTCTTCTGCCTTCTGCACCCATCTCCCGGGGTGCAACAGACCGCACGGCCCCCTAACTGTACTTCACCTGAGCAGGCCTTACACACCACACAGAGAAGACAGAGGCATGAGAACTGAGCTGAATGAAGACATGCGATATTCTAATTCGAGGCGCCGATACTGTACGTTCGCTACAGAAGAATTTCTTTCACGTCAGTGGAAGACAAGCTGGAAATTTCCAGGTCAAGGGCAGCTGCAGCAATGCAGGCACAGTTCTGGAGAGTGAGGGGCGTGTCCTTCCCGTGTGGAAGGACTCACAGGGTTGTCTGTGAAGGAAGGACCGAAGAGAAGAAGAAATTAATTTCTTCTGTGTGCTGCACAGAGCAGACCGAGCGTGGAGAGAACCTGGATGCAAATGTTCAAAAGGCTTGGATTCCCAAGCGCCTCAACCAAGAAACGTTCTGTCTCTGGGCTTGCAGTGCCCACAGTTCCCTCCTGGGGGCGCTATGGGTTTTCAGTGTGGTCAGTGGCCTTCCTGGGGGCGCTGTGGACCTGTAATGCGATGCAAGATGTTCATGTTTTCCTGTCTTATTAACAGTACCTCCCAATTGGAAAGTATAAATATTTGACTATCACTAATTGAAAGGCAAAGACAAAATCCCCGACTGACCAGCTGGAAAGGAACCACAGCTCATTTTTCAATGATGTTTTGCTGCTTTTATTAGAAGTCATGATGTGACACAGCTAGGTCTAACAAGATGACATGACCTCGACGTGCAGTGTCCCATTCCCCTGTAAGTGCGATTACTGTCCAGGTGCTGCAGTTACCACATCTGGATCCCCTCTGGGCCCTTAGCTCTTAGACTGATCAGACACCTTCCTTCTGTCTCTTCCCATAATTCCTCATGATCCACTCCGTGGGGCCCACACTTTGTCTCTCACCATTTACCCATTCTTCATCTTGCCCTCTTCACTGTGCACAGGAGTTTTCAACCCGACTGACTCGACGGCACTCAGCTTTCTTTAAACACTTCAATGCTCTTTGGGAATTCGCACCAACACTCTTCATCTCGAGAAGGAGCCCTCACTCTCGCTCCTCTTGGGACGGTCCCCTTTGTGGATGCAGATGCAGACCGGGACCCTCTTTCTCAGGCGGCTCTCTTGAAAGGCTGTCCGTGAACATCCGTGACGTGGCCAAGACCTGCGAGAGCCTATCCTGAGCTCCCTCTCCTACTCCCTCTAATCGTTCCTGCCAGACGTGTCTCATTCTGCAGCTATGTCCTCTTCCTTGGGCCTGGTCTGAGCTAAGATGGTGCCTCACCTCAGAACAAAACACATCCTGACTGTGACAGTCCAGCCTCAAGCCTCAGCCTCACAGCCAGCAGACCCACCAGGATCAGACTGAGCCCAGGGCACCAGAGACACTCAGGACACTTAACATAAGGCTCTGTCTCAGAGTCACGGGGACACACAAGGTCTTGGCTGCTGGCAGTGGTGTAGTGAATGGATGCCTAAATTGAACACTTATTTCTGGAAAAATAAAAATTACACTTCAGGGCTACATATGAAACAGTTGCAAATAAACTTTTTCCTCAAGCATAAGAGCAGATCTCGCTCTCTTCTGGATGTGACCAGTCAATAATAATTCAATAATGAGAAAGCTGAAATCAACACCTCAAAAAACGAAAAAGGAAAGAACAAAAAGAAAAACAACGAAAGTAATCGGAATCAGGTGGTTCAGCTCACGAAGGCAGTGAGCGAAAGTAGGACTCCCACTGCCCGAGACTGGTGTTTCAGTACTGGAAGGTCTGGTCAGAGGCCGTATTAAGCACGGGAAAGCCCCGAGCAGTTTCGCTGGACCAGAACAAAACTGCCAGCTGCAGTCAAGTTTGCACTTTGGGAGGAGGTCACACCATCTCCGTTCACGCCTCCCTGGGGAGCCCCACTTCCACAGCACCTGGGCTGTGTGAGGACAGCCTGTGCAGCGAATGAGATCAGGGTATCGCAGCCACAAGACGGCACCGGGGCCTGCAAGCAGGTTGACACACACAGGAAAGAATCGAGGGGGAGCACGACAGAGGCTAGCACGGACAACGGGCAGCTCAGGATTGTGGAAGGAAGAAAAGGAAGAGTTGATTGCTTGGAAACACCTCTACTGCAGTGGGCTACAGCCAAGACCCACGACTCCCAGGCCTCCTCGCTCCCCAGTCAGAAAAGAAATGAGAATTTCATGTCCAGGAATGGACTCGGGGGTCACTAGGTCTGATTTTCCTCCGCCAAGTCCACATGAATATGCAAGCAGGTTCCTTGCGAGACACTGCTGCTATCCCGCTGTCAGGTCAGCTGCCTGTTGTTATTCGGAAGCATGCCTAAATTAATTACATGCTCCATAAATCTCCTCCACAAGGCTTCTGGGCTTTTCCTTCACTCCAACTGGAACAGGCCCTTCCAGACACCACTGTGATGTACATTGTATTGTGCAAGCATTTAATACTTGATATCACAGAGCCGGATGAGAAGGAGCTCAGGGAGAATAAATGCAAACACACCTGCCCACTCTGCGAGCCCACACGGGACGCACCCCAGATATTACAGCACTGTAGCTCAACTGTGTTCACAGGAGCAGCCAGGCCAGCCAGCGCTCTCCCTGCAGACTTAGAGGAGCTAAGGTCAGGAGAGAGTCGAGGAGAGGTCTTGAACCTGGAGCACGTGCCTGCAGGGCTCTCCCAGACCCGCCACCTGCTCAGACAGGCTACACCTCCGGCACATGGCTCTGCTGGCCGGCACGTGGGGGCAGACAGCTGGCCTGGAACAGGTTTCAGATGCCGTGCAAACTCTTAGCCATTACGGCAGAAGAAAAGCCCTTAAGCCGCTTTGTTAAAACGAATCCTTCAGAACGCAGCAGGCGAGGCGGAAGGCGTGGCCAATGGCGGGCCGCAACCCCACGAGAAAGGTCATCCTTCTTTCGGAAGGAAGTGGATTTGGAACAGAGACCCCCAGCCACAGATTTGCAGCAGACCAGCTGGAGATTAAGAGAGGAGGACTGAAGGAAGGGTGCAGGAGTACAGGAGGCGGAGGGCAGAGCTGGCAGCAGCTTTTATTGGGGTTTTTTTACCTGGGTTTGCAGCCTCTGGACTCCTGCCATGGCGATCTGCTTCTAGCCACTGGTATAACGCTAGGTGGACACAAGCAGAAAACAGAACAGCTCACATCAACCAAACGTCAAGCAAACAATGAGCACGGAGACAGAGCAAAGGCATGACATCATGGAGCACGAGCTGACAACATTCACGGACAGAGGCAGCAGGACAACACGTTCTGCATCCAAGCGGTTACACTGCAGCGCCCGTTTATGAGACGCACTCTGAAACACACGTAGCACGACAAACAAAATGAGACGTCGCCAAGCACAGAGGCCATCCTGAAGAATCCCAGTAGCCGCTGATAACATAAATTTCAAAACCTTTTTTTATCCAAGTGTACTTTGATATATCGCTGGCATTTTATTCGATACACATACAGAGGCACAAGACACATTCATCTCCAGCAGCCTCTGCTGCACTGAGAGCTCCCAGCCCACCGCAGAGAGAGAGGTGCTGCTTGATTCTGTCAGAGAGCATCACACAGCGTCCTGACGAGCAGAGCACTCCCAGCCGGCAACAGGGCCGGAGAGGGGACGCTGTCCCGCGACTAACCAGAGACGTTTGGACAGGGACTAACAGCCCACAGAGGGAAGCAGACTCTGCTCCTACAAAGAGGCATCAGGGGCTCTTCAACACTCGGCTCCAGAAAGATATCGGCTCGCAGGGCCCTTCGATTCGTCAGGCCTACAAACCGTCTCCCGCACAGATGGGCAGCAAGGAGTGAAACATGCTCCCCGTCGCCCCTAATTATTCCAGCTGGCTTGTGCCAGCCAGCAGATGCCACCGACAAAGTAACCAGGAGGGCACGCAGACGGCGCAGATCGGAGATGAGAGGGGCCCCAGAGCCGATCAGGCAAACCGCATAAACTGATTGAGTTACTAAACGATGGGGACAGAAGACTTTAAAGAATACAGCTCAGATCAGGGTTTGGAATCTGAAATAAAGTGCTTTTTTTACTGGGGGTGAGGAAATGATGTGACGCCGAAACCATCTCAATAAGATAAGAAGACAAAATGTATGGCTGGATGAGAGAAACTTGTTACCGACCCCCAAACAGGCCAGATGGTCTCCTGTTGTTTGTGTCTCTTCTGTTCTTATTAGGAGGCAGCAGAAAGACTAATACGCGGAGCAGAGTCATGACGCGAGGCGCACAATCAGGTTTTAGGGGTCTTTGTTCTTCGACAAGAGATACAGTGGTCGCTGTCATCAGGTGATTATCAGGACATTACTAACCTGCCAGGCTTATGTTTCACTCTGGCACCAAGGTAGCCCCTGGGATTTAATGCAGTAAGAACAGTAATCAACCACAGTCGCAGAAAACATTTTAAAGGCGATGGGAGGGGACTGCAGAGAACGACTGCCTTAAAAAAGTGATCTGTTTTGCGGTCCAAGCAGAATGCTTTTTTCAGTGCATCAGAAGCTAAACCTTGTGGTCTTCCCGCCAGCGTGCACACCAGTGTCCCGATGCCGGAGAGTCAGGACCCGCCTACACCTCTCTGAGCGCCTCCCTCCCTGGCCATCGGATTCCTGAACTGCGGAATCTCAGTCCCAGGAGACTCCCTCCCCCCTGAAACAGGCTCTTTTCCCCCCCCAATTACTCCACTTCTACTCTTAATACAAGCAGCTGAGTATTAAAAAACAATCCTGAACAAGCTTTATCAAGCTAAAAATGTTTGTTATAATTTTTATTTTCTTTGATGCATCTTTTTTGAGGCGGCACGGGATTGTCACACTGTCAGATCCACACGGACTCCAGCAATCCCTTCAGCTGCCCAGCACACCTGACAGCAAGCCCTCCTCCACTCTGGGGACAGCCAGGGCAACAGAGGATGTGAAAACACAGCACAGAAGTTCTGGTCCTCTCCCGTTTGTATTCCTGAACTAAGCAGTGCCTCTGCAGAGCCATTAGAACACACTAAACAGAAGAAACCAGTTGGACTGCACGGAAACAGAAGAAAGATCAAACACACTGTGACCCAGGCCTGGGTTATCAGTGAAGGTTCAGTTAAGCTGTGACTGGGTAGCATGCATTCATCTGGCTCGACAGCCTACATGGGGCAAAGGTTAAACCACACTGAACTCACCCTCTGCACAGCAGAGGAAATCAATGCAGGATTTACTAGCAACATGACAAACTAAGGATTGCATTGCTCTGGGGGGCCGATTTAAAACCACAGTGTTGACTGGTTAATATGGATTTTCTTTGCAAATCGTTCCTAGGATTTGCTGAAAGAGATTGATCCCTGGGTCCTACCACTGTGAACTGAAGTTTAAATAATAAAAAAAGCACAGTAAGGACTCAAGATTTTTTTGGATTAGTTAAAAAAACACAAATAGCAGGCAAAGACAACATGTTTCAACCGTATCTTTGCCCTGCTGGTACATGTGCTCAAACCCACACTGCTGTGAACTTAAGTGCAGTAAAGAGAGAGCACATGTTGATACTAGGAGGCAATCTGAGCCAGCTGGCTGCAGCAGCACGCTGATCCAACAGCCTCTCCAATCCCAGTAAACATCCCAGATGCATGTAGTCAGTCCACGGCAGTACCATCTTGTGTTTGGAAAGAACTGTAAGGGCATGTATAAGCACTAACAAACAGCTCCAGCCGTCATCTGCTCATCACCCACGTTCCCATCGCTTGCTCCTGAATAGATCTTGCCAGTGAGAGTTTTTTTTTTTTTTTTTTTTAATCGGTACACGTTACACGTCCGTAGATCTAGAGAGCAACGACTCCCCTTCCCTGCAGTCTTGTGGAACAGACTGTGCTCCTGCCCGGAGAGACGGGAGGGTCTGGAGGCAGACACCGAGCTCCCTGGGAATCCTGCTCAGCTCCCCCGACGGGCAGCAGAATTCTGGTTACGCTGGGCGGCACTCCCCAGCGGGGAGTCGAGAGACAGCGATGGCTCTCCTACAGCTCCCACTGAAAGGCAAAGGTTCTCCCTCACCAGCTGCCGCGGTAAGAATGGGAGAATATTCTCCATAGCGGCGGCCGGCTGACTCTCCCCACCAAGGGCAGGAGAGAAGCCTGATTAAGGTCATTTGACCGCAAACCATTTGAACGAGTCTAACCAGCTCATCTGCACCTTCCCGTCTCGCATCGCTAATGTCCACCCTCCTCGTCGATCGCGACGGTCTTCCAAGATCGTCTTGTAGGAGGGACAGGCGTCCGGACAAGTCGATCCAGGACAGTCAGGCTCCACTGTTACTAGTACAAGTCTGGATGCTGGATAATTATTCTCGTCTGCTTAGGGTGCCAACCTCTGGTACTAATGTCTTCCGTTGCTGTCCTGACTGCTACTGTAGATCTTCCAAGAAACAGGTACCCAAAAGACAAAATTTAAAGCCCACTCCCTTCAGCAGAGTGATATCAGAGTAACGGCCTTCTACACGGCAGGTTGCCGGTTCGAGAGGACTCCGAGCTCAGGCCTCAGTGCACCTGTCCCGCCACCGCTCTCCTCTCCTGCTCTGGGACAAGTCCGTCTCCCAGGGCTCGGCTCAGCGGCCCCCGGCGCAGGAGGAAACGCAGGAGGAGAGGCAGGGCTGGTCCAACAGCCGGATCCCGCCCCCCCGCCTGCTCCCCAGGGTGAAAAGCAAGCATGCAGATTCAGTGCCTCAAAGAATTTACTGTTCTCCTAGCGGAGGAGATCCGGGACAGTGCCGAGACCAGCCACTTGGAACAGACATCCCGACTACAGCCCCCGTCACCAAACTCCGCCAGCGGCCTCTGAGCTCAGGCAAGATGGCACAAAGGCATCCCGGAGCTCGTGTTGTTTAAACCTGGCAAACACGTGACCAACTCGACCGGTCGCTGGGCAGAGCAGCTTGCAATAACGCCTCGCTGTCGAAAACACACTCCATCATTCCATCACTGCATTGGAATGAAAAAAAAAAGAGTTCATGATTCATTGGATTTATGCAAAAGGGAGAGTGAGCGACATTCAGAAGTTGGAGTCCCAGTGCCAGGGGAATAAATAGAATAAAACCTGCAGAAGCACAAATGCGCCTGGAAAAGCCTTTGCTTTGGATGAAATCACAGCCCCCAGAATTCCACACTCAAGCGGTGCCATCTATAAATAAAACAGGAGGCATTACATAACCTTGTTCAAAGGCTGGAGCTCGCTGGGCAGACTTGCCAGCTTTGCGCCAGTGACTGGAACTAGAGATAACACGAGACGTCAGGGAGCTCTGTGGCCTCTTAACCCTGCGAGGACGGATACACCACCCCAGCCTGACTCTTACAACAGACCTGACCTCGAATGCCATTTCCACCTTCGCAGTACAGAACACACAGCACCGCGAGTTTTCTGACCCGCTTCAAACCTGAATTAGAATGAACAGCTCCTGATCTGCTTGTGAAACCCAATCCCCTTTCACATTAATGATCCCATTAAGTTACCATTGATGTTAACAATGTAACTGTCTGTAGAAGAAAAACAGTGCTCAGCTCAGGCCGTCTCTGTCTGTTACCGGGGATGGAGAGACGACATCAAGCCAGTTCTCTTCACAGGTGAAAGCGAAAATCCCTTCAGCCAATTCAAGCCGGTGGTTAAAGCCAACCAGTGTGTCCCCTGTGCATGCTTGATCAACATGCAGCGACAGCAGCAAACGGCAGCTTCCCCCCATAGGAAAAGGGCCTTCAGCCTACTCACTGCCCCGTCCTGAATTTGAATTAACCTCGTTTTAATTCTTTGCGTGTCCCACGATGCTGTTAGCCAAAACGGATACCAAAACACTGGGGAAGCAGCAAAGGAAATTCAAAATTCACAACTGGACAAGCACCTGCAAGGTGACGTTTTACGGAGGAAGACGCCGAGTGCTGCAGCAGGGAGCAGAAACACACAGAGCATGAAGACGACTCAGGCGTGCATCCTGACTGACAACTGGAGGAGTCAAAGGGCTGATGGGGAACTGGAACAAACCACCTAACCAGCAGGGTAGCTAATTCTATCGCTATGGCCAAGTATCAAATTAATAGCCTGGATTCTTTCAAGAACAGGCTGGATGAGATCCATGGATCAATTACTGCAGCT